ACAGAGTAGTTCGCAGGGCACTATCGAAGAGAAGCCAGAGCAGAGTGGACTGATCCTTCGGGAGCCACAAGGTCAGGTGAGGGAGAAGACTCCATTACAGAGAAGAGTAGGAGTGTTAGGCTTATCCCAGGAATCCCCCTATCTGGAACCCATTTCTGTATATGGCTGGGCAGGTCCCAGCTTTCAAAAATTAGTGGAGGAGCCTCGTTTACCCCTGCTTCGCCCTTCATTTATCCCCCAGGAAGTCAAGTTGTCCATAGAGGGTCGTTCAAATGCAGGGAAGTGAGTTCTGGTTGTGGGTGAACCAGTGCCATGCTGGATAGTCTGGCCACTAGTTTCTCTTGACACCCACGAGATGTACAGATCCTCCTCCAGCTGTGTGCCTAAACCATTCTACCGGCAGAACTTCTTCCCATCTTCCCCTGCTTTCTGCAAGGTAAGATGAAGAGAGGGATAACCAGGTCCCTTAAGACGCAAGCACTTTAATCGGACACTTGCTCGTAGGTAGCAAGGTGCTTTTATCAAGAGAGAAAGAATGTCAGTGTGGGGGCTAAGGGAATTGTCCAGTCTTCTGCTCAGGTCTTGGTCAAGGTATTTTGACTAATTGGTCTGGGCACTGCAGTAGTCCAGTTTGGGAGTCTCCGTGTCTCCTCAGGGAGATGTTTGTACATCTTATTGTATTGAGAAGAAGCATCTAGCACTCTCCATTCAGCAAATCTGCTACCCAGTGCATAGTTTTGTAACGCTGTTGCCACATAGAGCTAAGGCCTTTTTTAATAGGAGGGGAAGTAGATAGAAGCAGAACAAGGATTTGTGCTTATTGCTGGCTCTTAGTTTGCTGGCTCTACATCCATTCTGCTATTACATCCCTGCCCAGGTAATACTGTTCTTCCATGAAAGCTGCATTCCACTTCTGCTTTGGCTGCCAGTACTTACTCAAACATCCATTGCTGAGACAGGGTTTAACTGTATAGCTGCTGCTTTTGCAGGCATACAAAGGAAAGTGCCCTTTATCAACTGCTGGCTTCAAAAGAGACTAAAAAGGGGAAGTAGATATCATAAGACTTTTGTATGTTAAGTAAAAAAAAGGCAAGTGGCTAACAGTTTTAAGTCTGTTGCGCTGAAAATGATGCAGAATTGCCTCATTTCATGGTGCCATGCTGAGCACCTTCTTGTCTTGTTACTGTGCGTTTAGCTCTAAGCAGAGGTTTACTACGTTGCCTAGTTTGTTGTAATGATGACAAAATCTCCCTCCAAAACAGCTGTTACAACCATCCCTTCTAATCATTCTAATGGCTTATTTCTCATGGGTGTTCTCTGACCCAGCATGGTTTCAGTTCCACTGCTTGGCAATTCTGCTGGGTCAGAGTGCTGAGTTTCTACATCAGCCCATCCCAAACTCTAGATGAAAGGTGACCTTGCTTTCTCTGCTGGGTTCTTTCCTGTGTTGTCCCAAAGACCCTGGCACTTTGCACTATTCATAGCCACCTTTTGTCCAAGATATCTGCCTTTCTTAACTTCCTCTCAGGGTCCCCTGAACTTCCTTCGTGTGCCTCCTGACTAATCTCTGTGCTGAATTCTCCTCTGTCTGATGCCAGATAAAGGGGCAGTAATTTCATGGCTGCAAACAAGTTTAACCCTTTCTCTCAAAGTGGGTAGCTGTCTCCAGGTTGCAATGCCAGTTGTCCATAATTGTTGAAACAACCCCTCAATTTTGGACAGCTCGGCCATGTGGGTCCAAAGTTTTGTTTGTATCTACATGGCAGACTGCTTGCCCTCCTGTTTTCAGAGGCATGTCTCCAAGTTGACAAGACAGTTACAAGTTGCAGGTGTCTCTTTACTCATTGCTCCGTGAGGCCCACAGAGACCTGAGAGAGCCAGCTACTTAGAGCAATAAGCTATTTCTCTCATGTGACACTACAGAAAATTGCTGTGCCCAATTCTAGCAATTGCAGGGAAGGCTTCCTAATACCCAATACCGTGGGATTGGCATCTCCCTGGCTGTCCTGTTGCCCTGAACCCTAAGAACAATTCATCTCTGACAGGGCATTTGTCAGATGCCCTTTCCTCTTGGGAGTTGCTTCAGTTGCCCCTTTCTTTAAGGGCACCTTAGCCTTAAAGGAGAGCTCCCTGAAGGGCTTGTGAAAGGGGAAGCCTTTTGCTACCAATCATGATGGAGCCAGGGCAGGCCCAAAAGAAACTCCTCTGAGGGTCCCTCTTCCTCCCTGGGACCTTTTCCATAGGTAGCACCTTAGCTGGCGAGGACCGGATGCTACCAGAATTATACATGTTGCAGCCCTACAACCAATCATTATTTTTACTCTAGCCAGCGATATACTGGCAAATGCCTTAGGACTAGCCAAACCCCCAACTGCTTTTCTCCTCCCTGATCTTTAATGCCACATAACAGTCTAAGGAGGATAAATCTATTTTATTGTGCTTTTTTGTATCTGTTTTAAATAAATCCACATGTACTGTATATTTGTATTTGGGGTGAGATCCTTTTTCCTGTTTTATGATTTAATATTGCTATAAATGCAGGCTGTACTTTTATTGTTAAGCTCTTCGAATTTGTTCCATTTAACTTGGCTATAAATGGCATATACACATATATATGCACGTGCACTCATATACACACATATGTACCTAATTATATGCCAATAGTTTTTCTTTTGCTATCTCTGTTGTTTGCCTTGTGGAGCAAATTGTACCCAGAAGGTAAGGACTGGAACGCCAACTATATCTCAGCATCATTTTGACAATTTAACGTGACTGTTAGTAATATTCACAGTAGATGCATTAATGGAGAACAGGGTGCTGCACAGGGACAGATCATGTAGAACTCTCCTTCAATAATTTTTCATTATTTCCCCCATATTGGTAATAACAGCTGGTCTTCAAATGTGACATGGATGCCAAAGACATTTAGTTATTGCTGTCTTCTGACTATACAGTCTGTGTTCATGTGAAAAAGGAAGACTGATGCTGATATGGTCAAAATGGACAGAAGCCGCTCATCAAAACCTAGCCAGTTCTTAGCTTATTTTTCTGTTAGCAAGTAATATGTTAAGACTGACAGCACTTAGGATTGTCCCCAAACAACAGAGTTTTTAAACAACGTTCTTAAAAGATTGCATATTTGTGTGATGGCCTAATAAAGACATTGCTGTAAGATGGATTTGGGGATTTTTCTTATAGCCAGCAAAACTCACTTGTTTTAAAAGACTGTCAGAGAGTTGGTTCATGACATGTTTGGATTTTTTAGACTGCAGCTAATGTCAAAGCATTTAGGATTCAAAAGAAAAAACCAAAAGGCTTAAGTCTTAGTTTGTGAACCAAAACATGCTAGACAATAGAATGACTATCTGATCATACTTTAAAGAGAATATATGCTTGCTTTTCATATATCCATCCTTTGAAGACCTACTGCCCAGAAGCAGGAGGAACTGTGTAATGAAGTCGAAGTTGTTAAGGATTAATGTGAAAAAAACCTGCCAAAGATTAAACAACATAATAAAGTAAGATGAATGTCAGTATAGACTGGAAATTGCAAGGGAATCTGAACCTGAGAGTTCATGAAAGAATTTAAGAGATTTGTTGGAAGAGATTAGTCGTATCACATCTGTGAAGATATTGAAGATGAAACAGACATGCAAAAACAAAGAATATTTTCCAAAAGATCTCTTACCTCAAAGTTTCAAGCTCAAATTGGTTTGCTTAAAGATATGGTTGACAAACAGTAATAATTCAAAAGACTATCAAGCAAAAGTGGAAGGAAATTCTATTTGGTAAGGATAATTACCATCTGAGAAGATATTCTCTATTTACAAGAACCTCTAGTGCTAAAGTAGTGATTAAGTTGCTAGGGATTAGATGATTTAAATTGAAAGCAATTAGTAAAGATTTTAATTGAACAGCAAATTTGGAGAATGCCAGAGTGAACACCAGGTTGGATGAGTTTATTCTACACACCAGTACCAAAGAGAGTTAGTAGAGCAAACTGTTGCACAGTATTCTTAATTTCACATTTAACAAAATAATTAGGATTATCTAACAGATTAGAGCCCTGAATGGAGAGGGAAATGTCAGATGTTCAAGCTTGCATTAGAAAAGACAGAAACAAGAGACATTGCTAATCCATACTGAATAATGGATCAATAGCAAAAAGAAATTGGGGCGTACATTGATTATAGAGACATCTTTGGCTATGTTAAACTGTGGAGTGTGCTTAAGAAAAAAGGAATACCAGAACATCTTAGTCTTCACATGAAATTCACACAAGTCAGGAAGCCACATTCCTGATAGAATGTGGAGAGACACCGGCTTCCCTAATTCAACCTATATGCTGGATATTTATTGAAGGAGACCAGATTGGAAGATGAGTTTTAAAACCAGAGGAAGAAACACCAAGCACCTGTGTTACATTGATATTACTCCAATAACTGAAAAAGGAAATTTTCTGCAAACTCTACTAATCAAAGTCAATTGGCTACAATTAAATAAGAATTTAATAAGAATAGAGGCCAGCCTTAGAACTGCCAGTGAAGATTCTGAGGTGTTGTGGACTACTTGTGCCTTTCAGAATTGACTCAATAATGAAGGAAGCAGGATAAAAAATATGCTGCAGAGTAGCACTTGGTAGGCAGCAATGAATTTGGGGGAAAAAATGTTCCAATGTCATGATGTCTACTGTATCAAAATTAAAAGCTGGTTGGATGACTTTGGGCCAGTCACTCTCTTGGCCCAACCCACAGGGCTGTGAGGAAAATAGGCAGGAATATTAAGTATGCACATTGCCTTGAGTTGGGCACCTCTGTTTTGCAAGGTGGGATTAAAAAAAACTACAGGTAGTGTTCTTTCCTGTAATGCTATGGATGTGAAAGATGGAGCAGACTACAAATGATGGTGTGCAGCCAAGAGGAAGAAAGATGTAGATTTGAGCCTCCCAAGAGCTATAAGCTTCCTTGCTCAGACTAATGCAACCAGTACACAAGACCAGAAGCATGCAACACATACAGGCAATTTATTTTTTCCTCCCTGCAGCCCATTTCCATTGTGACCTGTAGCACCCATAGAGCAGAAACAATTTGCTGGCCACATTCCAGGTCCACTGGCACAGCAAAAAGACCCAGTCCAAAGAGCTCAAGGGGAAGGATTCAATGCAGTGTGCTGGGGCTTGGCTCCTCAAAGGACATTTTGCTGAGCAACTGGCTGTCCAATTCCATGCCTCCCCCAGGGAGTGGGAAGAAGTTCATCTCAGCAGCCAGTGCTGCCATTGCTGAGGGGTCCTGGCCAAATTGAGCACGCAGCATCATGTCCATTTTTTCTAGCCGCCGCTTGAGTCGCTTTGCTTCACGTTCTCGGATGAGGCGAGCCTGCCGCTTCTCAGGTGTTTCATTGGCACGTTTGAGGCGCATGGCTTCGCGATCCCTCTGCAGGCGTCGTGCTCGCTGCTCGTCTGTCTCCTGCATCCGTTGCAGGCGCTTAGCCTCCCTGTCCCGCATGCGCCTCACTTCACGCTCCTCTGGTGTTTCATTGTCCCGACGGCTTTTCTTGGCTGTACGTTCTCGTTCTAGACGTTGCAGCCTTGCTTCTAGAGGTTCGTTCTGCCGCCGTAAAGCCCACTTGCGCACCCCTGGAGCTTGAGCTTCCAGAAGTTTGCGGTAAGCTACACAGCTGTTGCACACAAGGAGGAGGCCAGCAGGATACACAGCAGGGCTGAGAGTAGCAGCTTTCTCTTCGGTGCTAGAAGAACCCTCCTGGGGAGGAGTAGGCAGGGAATCTCCAGACAGCACCTCCGGCACCTTCTCACTACAAAAGAGAGAGAATCAGCGAAGGCAAGAACAACTCTCTTGAGTCAGCCGCGTGTCCTCTGGGAAAGAATCATGAAACTTTGAGGGAAGCCAAAAGATCTCTCGGGTGAAGCTGCTTTTCCACCTTCCACCAAGGCTCCACAAGGATATCCTATAGCAACCTGGGTCACAGTGGCCAAGAACCACCAAAATAAGACTTCCGACTTCCTTTTGCCGCAGTTTCTCACCTGTTGAAAGTGGCGTGGCTGGTGAAATGCGCCCCGCATACTGCACAGTTGGACAGCTGGTCCTCAGAGTGGATGAGGAGGTGCCTACCCAGCGACCCTGGGGAGCTGAGTGCTCGGCTGCAGACAGGACACAGGTAGCTCTTGGCACTGACTGCAGCCGCTGTGTGCTGCAAACGAGGCCGGGCTGTGAGGTAAAGGCTCAACTGCCCTGTCCCTACAAGGGCAGGCTGAAGCCAAGCCATGGAAGAAATCCCTCTTCCTTGGACTGAAGGAGAGACACCCACAAGGCATTCCCTAAGATGGCTGGTGAAATGGCATCCCACAAGCACTACATCTTTCCCAACCAGGATGAAAAAGCTCAGGCTAGAGAGAAGCAAGGGCGGGGCAGCCAGCTGGCAGAACGGCTTCAGGCACCCCTCCAGATAGATACCTGGTACACGTGAGTCACAAGCTGTTCCCTGCTGCCACATTCTAGTTGACAAAGAGGACAGCGGGAGAGTCCCATCAAGGCATCTGAGTTAGTGCTGAATCCCATCTATAAGAGAGAGGAGATTGATGAAAAAAAATCAGGCAGGATCATGCCCGCTCCAATAAGCATGACATGCGGTTCTTCTGCTGGTTTGAACAAAGGAACTGCACAAGAAAGTCAGGGCATTCTACGAACAGGAAAAAAAGACAATCTGTCCTATAGTGATCAACTGCACATTCTTGAGCGGCATCCGCTCACAAGCAAGCTTGGAAAGGCAGGCTGTTCTTTTTCCCAACCTCATTTGAAGGGTGTTCCCATCTAGCTCTAGCAAGTTGGACTAATATAGTTTAAGGCAGACCTCATGTTTTCACAGCCTAGCCCAAAACCAAACCATGCAGCCTATGGAACCAACAAGATGGAACAGCAAAGCTGCCCCATCAAAAGTCTTGGCTGGCCAGTCCGGGTAGGGGAGGAGCACTTGCCTCTTGGGCTTGGATCCCGGGGTTGCCCTCCTCAGGCTGCTCCGCGGACCCCTGCTCCTTTTTCACTTCAGCCCCGCTTGTTCCGTCCACTTCAGAAGCCGAAGAAGAGGCCTCGTCCTGGGTGGTCTCCTCCTCGCTCTCACCTGCAACGCAAGCAGTGGCTCGGAAGGGAGGGCGGGCCGGCAGGGCGCAACCCCCAATTCGGGCCACCCTGCACCCACCCCCCGCCAGCGAAGGCAACTCACTGCTGCTGGAGGCTCTCCCTGGCGGGGGCGGGGGCAGCTCCTGCCCCACGACGGCAGGCTGGACGCCCAGCAGCCCCGGGAGGCTCTTCCTCATGGCTGCCCGCCGCTTGTGCTCTTCCAGCCCGGCCAAGACCTGCTCCCCTGCGAACAAAAGCGGCAGGGCGCGTCACCCGGGCCGCCCTCCCAGGCCGGAGGCTCCGCGGCCCCCGGGAAGCGGACGCGGAGGGGCTGCCCGGCCGTCTCCGACCGCCAGCGCCGCCACGGCCACGGGCGCTGCTCCGGCTCGGCAGGCGGGCGCTGGGCCGGGCCCCCTCCCCGCAGCCCCGCCCGTTACTCACAGCGCACTTTATTGGGGGTGGCCTGTTTCCGGCGGGACATGGCTTCCCCCCCGCGGGGGCGCCCCTGCGGAGAGAAGAGCCCCGCGTCACGCCGCGCCGCGAGGGGCCGCCGCCCGCCCCGCTCGGGAGCCCGCCGCGGCTCGGCCCTCACCTGGCCGCCGCCGCCGCCGCCGCCCTCCGTCGCCGGGCTGGGCTCGCGGCGTGGCAGCAGCGGCGGACAAAGAGCCGCCCAGCGGGGCGCCAGCAGAAGATGGCGGCGCGGCGGCGGGAGCGCCCGGCTCGTGCACGGGGACCCGCCGTCCGTCGGGCGCGCGCCGCGCTGGATCCTGCCTCCGCCGGCGGGACGCGGCTCCGGCCCGGTGGTAGCGCAGCCGCCGCCAGCCGCTCGGGCAGGACACGGGAGGGCCGGCGCGACGCGGGGAGCCGTAGGGAGTCGCTGCCTGTCCCCGGCGGCGCTCGAGCGCCTCCAGCAGCCGCCCCCGCCGCAGCATATACTGGAGGGCGCCGGCCCAGCACAGCGCCCCAGGCGGGGCAGGTATGAAGGCGTCCCCGCCGGCGGAACCCCGCACCGGGAGCCGAGGGAGCCGCCGGGGCACTGAGGACGGTGACGCAGAGACCTCGCGTTCCTGCTTCCGTTCCCCTGCAGGAGGCGCCTTCCGCCCGGGACCCGCGCGCGGCGCCGCTTCTTCGGCTGCTTCCGGCGTCCGCCTGGGTACTTCCGTGCTGCGGCCCTGTCGGAGGTGAGGCGTCTACCCCGTGCCGTCCGCGGAGCCCCTCCTGGGCCTGTCCCGGTCGCTTCCCCCTGGAGAGCCCCGGGGGGAGGGGAGCCAGCCCAGGGCCCCGAGGAGTTCGCGGCGGGTGGCGCCTCTTTGGGTCCTTCCCGGAAACGGCGGGGCGGCGCAGGTCTCGGGCGCGGCTGACCGACGGTTTCTGCCTCGCCCTCCAGTTGCGGGACTGGCCAGGATGTTGGGCTCCGGGTTCAAGGCCGAGCGCTTGCGCGTCAATCTCCGTCTGGTCATCAATCGCCTGAAGTTGTTGGAGAAGAAGAAAAGTAAGTGGAGGCTAAGCGGGGGAAGGGCCCCTTCGCCGTCCCACTATCTCCCTCCTCCCGAGGGTTGCGTGGCGCGCCTTGCCCGTCCCAGCCAGGGAAAGGGCGAAGCGGGGGAAGGGCTGAGGGGGCTCTCGCCCGGGGGAATCCCAAGGCCGGAGCACTAAGGGAGGGCTTCCCTCTTCCCTGTTTTACAGCTGAGTTGGCCCAGAAAGCCAGGAAGGAAATTGCTGACTATCTTTCTGCTGGCAAGGATGAACGGGCTCGTATCCGTGTGGAGCACATTATTCGGGAGGATTATTTGGTGGAGGCCATGGAGATCTTGGAATTGTACTGTGACCTGCTTTTAGCTCGCTTTGGCCTCATTCATTCGATGAAGTAAGTAGCAGAAAGGAACTTCTGGGAGAGGAAAGGCAGTGTTCTGGCGTCCTTTTCACACGAAGAGCTGCTTTTTGAGATACAAACTGTTTGGGATCTATGTATTGCATAACTTTATGTTGCTTCTGCAGGGAGCTGGACCCTGGCCTGGCAGAAGCAGTGTCTACCCTCATCTGGGCAGCTCCTCGGCTACAGTCAGAAGTAGCTGAATTGAAAATAGTGAGTAATACCAGCTATGTGAGAGGAAGTGGACTCTGGGTTTTTGCCCAATTGCCTAGAAGGTTTTGGGGCATTAATTGCCAAAACAGTTTGCCTTCTCTTCACTATCCTTTGAACTTAATAAGACTCTTTCCAAATCCCTTGAGAATTTTCTTGAATTGCTTGAGATTTAAAATTGGTTCCTCTGCCTCTAAGCTTAGGCCTTCTGACTAGGTAAGAGCCATAGTGTTTCTGTGCTTGACTTTAGGGATAGCTGTTGAGTTTTTAATTGTGCTATTTCTGTACTAGGTTGCTGATCAGCTGTGTGCCAAATACAGCAAGGAATATGGCAAGCTATGCCGAAGCAACCAGATTGGAACAGTCAATGACAGGGTGAGAATGGGAAGAGCCATGCTGTTGATAGTAAGGTGGCTGTATAAAGTATATCTCAAGAAGTTTTACAGAATAAGAATGTTGGTGATCCACACAAAGAAGTGATAAGTATCTTCTTTGAATTTTGTATTTTTCTTTTTTGGGTGATTCCAGATAAAAACTGTTAGCCCTGCTTAGCTATGGAGGTAACAGATTGTTTTTCCTCCTCCCTGCCTTCTAGTTAATGCACAAACTGAATGTAGAAGCACCGCCTAAAATCCTGGTGGAGAGGTATTTGATTGAGATTGCCAAGAACTATAATGTGCCCTATGAACCAGATTCAGTGGTCATGGTAAGTAGAAGTGCAGGAGGCTCCCTAATTCTTGTGATGTGGATGGTCTGTTCTTGGCTGCCACAGTTATGTGAAAAAGAGTGAAAAATTCAGTTTTCCTGTATTTCATTTTTGGAGCTTCATTTGAGTATTAGTAATTCACAAATGGAGTCTCAGTGAACAAATAGTGCTAAGATTTGATTCTAGTTTCTTTGATGTTCACTGGCTATATAGCCAGTTGTATAAGTAAAATCATGACTGCTTTGGAGCAATCTTGTCCTAAAGAAATCACAAAACCTGTGCTCGCCCCATCCCAATGAAGTTTTCACTATATACATTCATGTCCTGCTGAAAAGAGATTACTTAAAATGACCTCAATCTGGAAAAGGTTTCAAACAATATCTGAAATACTTTATGACAACTCCAGCAATTTATGGTTTGCTGATCCAGCCTTGAACTGGAGAAGACATTTTTTGTAAGAGTAGTTATCTTTCAAAAATTCCTCCCTAGAATGCAACATAAAAGCCACAACCAAACCGTTTTTGGGGATCTGCATGCCAGTCAATAACCTCCAGATTCTGGCAAAACTCTGTGGACAGATGAGGCAAAACATCTGGTGGAATCCAAACTTTCCACAAAAATCTTATGCCTTAAGATTATCTTAATCACTTATTAGATGTCATGATTTAGCAATGGTTTGCTACTGGGATCATTTACAACGTCAAGGAAAGCATCAGTTCTGATTCAAATCAGAATTCTAAGAACCTTTTTTCTAAGTCATGTGGCAAGAGTGATCCATAGAAGCAAGTCCACAAGATGACAAACGAAAAGGAATGCATTTAATATTTTGGTGTGGCCAAGTCAAAGCTACATAGAAACATCGTAGCAGGATTAAAACTGGCAGTTCATGCTAGAAAAGCTCAACTATTATTGTGCTGAAGCAATTCACCATAAAGGAATAAATTAAATAATTATTACATAGTGATATGAGAAACTGGTCACTGGTTAAGGAAGTGCTTCGTCCCACTAACTGCAGCTAAGGAAAAGGCAACCAATTACTGAGTCACATTGACAACTACTGTTTTGCAGATCATATGTTGGATGTTCTTAGGTAATGAATGAAACAAATAAAACACCTGTGTTGCTTCATTTAAAATTCATTTTATGGATTACTGGGATACATGAAACTCTTTAACATTCAGTAGCAAAGATACACAAACGTTCAAAAAAACCCCAAAGAAGCGAACACTGTCACAGAGTTGTGTTTCTTTTCATTTAATCCATTTGTATAGCCACGAAGCTGAAAAAGTGACTGTACGCAAGCAGTAACTTTCCTGGTTGTGAGATTGAGTCATCTCATTTCTCAGGCTGTGGCTCCTGCAGGTGTAGAAGCAGATCTGATCGATGTAGGATTTGTGGATGACATCAAGAAAGGTGGTGGTGGTGGCAGCGGTGGCTTCATGGCCCCTCTACCTGGTCCTGAAGGAGTCTTGCCGATGCCATCTCCAGTTCCTCCTTTCTCCTACCCACATACGAAGGGAACGGTAATTACATCTTGATTCATGCAGGGCTCTGGAGGCGAGTAATTCTGCTTTTATCTTGTTGCCGGCATGTGGGTTGGCAGCAACTTTTCTTGCTGCTTACTTAATCTCTCAATGAGTTACATTTGCCTTGGCTAACAAATGTTCTGATTCCTGCAGGAGAGCTTCAATGGGCTACCTGTGGGCACCTACCAACCATTCACTGGCCTTCACCCTCCTCCGATTCCAGCAATTCCTCCAACATATGAATCTGTAAGTGTCACCCAAGAAAAATGTAGTCCTCTAAAACGGCATGAAATGAAAAACACATTTCACAGCTGACCCCAAAAAAGTCATGTTCCACAAGTTCTACCAAACTTTCAGACTGGCTGCAGTTTGGCAGAAACTAAATTTAGAATCCGAGTTGGGAGGGCATATTGCTCTTTTCCGCCCCCTCTTCCTTTGCATAGCCATCTTCCCAATATCTACGTGGAACAGCTCACACCAGACGGTTGTATATATTCCTATTGTCCTCTGCTGTTTCTGTTTCTTCCTTTCTGCTGCTGAGATTTTGGGTTAAGGGTCTGGTCAAACATTAGTTGTAAGATACCTTTTCTGCTTGTTTTGGGTGCCACAGTTGCTTTTCAGAACATCCCCTTTAATTTGCTACATTTACCTGCCTTTCAAGCTTTGCTCTCTTCCAATAATAACATATTTTCCTAGAGAGAGGCTGTGTTCCCTGCACCTCTCTCCCGTTTGATTTTCTGTCCTGCCCAGCAGCAGAACTTTGAGCTTTGATTCTTGAGGTGGAGAAAAATATGCTTCTGAAACCTCTCAGCCTGTACAAATAAACAAAGGTATTTAAGTGTGCTGCATGCCAGGACCTTCTGCCTAATACACTTGTGCCTGTTTCAGGTAAATGATGGGAATACTGACAAGGAAGTGCCATCCTTGCATATTGTGACTGGTAAGTCCAGAGGAGGTCAGGAAGCACCAGCCAATGCCTTTCTTGTCACTCTGGTAAGACACACTGAGCTGCTGCACTTGGCTTGGGGTAAAGTGGCAGCAATTTGACTCCTCCAGAGCTGTAGAAGCTCACACCATGCAACACAGCCCTGGGAGGCCTCAAAAGCACCAGCACTCTTGTTAAAACCTTGGATGCAAGAGAAAATACAGCTTGCTACACCAGGCAAGCTGCTGGCATGTAGAAATTGTGTGGGCATTGTTCCCACTACTCCCTGTTAATCCTTGGAGCAGCAGCTCCTTTTCTGCATTGCTTGGGCCTGCCCAGGGCTTGTAGTGTCTCTTCATTTACCCTCTGTTGCAGGTCCCCGGGTAATGCCAGAAGCCAAGGGGCAGCCACCAGTCCCCATGCCTCGTTCAGGGGATCGCTTTGTGTTGCCAGAGTTGCCATCTGTGCCAGATACACTGCCTGCTGCTTCTGCTGGCACCAGCACATCTGCATCCGATGAGATTGACTTTGATGATCTATCCCGGAGGTTTGAGGAGTTGAAGAAGAAAACCTAAGAGCTACACACCCTGTTGCTGTAATGGGTGCTCTTTCCTCATTTCCTTGCCTTCCTCTTGGCCTTTCTTCTTGCTCTACTTACACTAAATTGTGCTTTCTCAGAGGGTCCTTTGGAGCCCTTTTCGGTGGGAAGCAAGAAACTGTCCCCTGTGCCTCAGTAGCCCTAGATAATCTCTTCTGGAGGGGGGTGTTGAGGTGATGTGAGTAGC